TGCTCAGTGGTTGAGCATTGACCTATGAACCCAAGAGGTCACGGTTCAATTTCTGGTCAGGGCACATGCCCGGGTTGCGAGCTCAATCCCCAGTAGGGAGCATGCAGGAGGCAGCCGATCCATGATTCTCTCTCATCCTTGATGTTTCTCTCTCTCCCTCTCCCTTCCTCTCTGAGATCAATAAAAACATTAAAAAACAAAAAAGTCTCAGTCACCCGTATCCTGGGCTACATCCTCTCCAGAGCCCAGTATGAGAAAGAGCATGGGTTTCTCATGTCCCTCTGAGGGCCTGGCTCCGTCTGGTCACGCAGCACGCTATAAAACACGCGCCTAACGGACAGGGCGGTGAGTGGCCTCCCAGCGTTCCTATCCTCTGGAAGTAGCAGAGAGGAGAGCACTCCCCCAGGCCTCCTGAGCCAACCCCCGCCTCTGTGCCACATGGCACAGCGGAAGTGGGCAGCTCGGGTAGTTCTGTTTCCTTTGGCTCACATTGGTCCACATGTTCGCTGAGCGTTCGCTATATACTAAGCGCGGGGGTCTCGTGAGCAAGATGTGTTCCTGCTGTCAAGAACCTTACAACAGGGATGCAAGCTGATGGGTGGCAGATGGAGCCACCAGTGGGGCCCGTCCCGACGTCCCTCTGAGCCCTGCTCTAGCCCTCAGCCCGGGCTCACCTGGCACTGGGGGCCCCTCGGGAAAGTTCTCCACGCAGAATCGCTCGTCGTCTCCCGAGGCGCAGTCCTGCTGGCCGTCGCACACCTGCTGCCTGGGGATGAAGCGGAGGGGCGGCCCACAGAGGAAGTAGTACTTGTCCAGGACGACCTTGACTGGAGGGGCCCGTCCCGACGTCCCTCTGAGCCCTGCTCTAGCCCTCAGCCCGGGCTCACCTGGCACTGGGGGCCCCTCGGGAAAGTTCTCCACGCAGAATCGCTCGTCGTCTCCCGAGGCGCAGTCCTGCTGGCCGTCGCACACCTGCTGCCTGGGGATGAAGCGGAGGGGCGGCCCACAGAGGAAGTAGTACTTGTCCAGGACGACCTTGACTGGAAGGCAAGGGCAGGGGGGAGAGAGGGGTTGAGCTGGACACGCACTGGGCGTGGAGCCAGGCAGACCCGGTCCCAGTGCTGCCACAAGTCCTCTCTGTAAAGCGGTGAGATAAAGCCTGGGGCAGGCCTGCAGATGGCTGGGGAGTTCAGCGAGATGCTGTGTGTGTGTGTGTGGGGGTGTGTGTGTGCGCGCGGGGCCGGG